CTGCAAGCTGCCCGCCGCGGGCTTCGCGCCGCCGCTCCCGGCGGGCGACGCGCCGCTCGTCGCCCGCCACCAGGCCCACTGCACCTTCGACGAGTTCCTCGCGCCCGACGAGAGCGACGCGCAGCGGTCCGAGATCTACGCGGACAGCACGATGATCGACGCGTGCCGCCTGCCGCGCGACGCGCGGACGTTCGCGAGCCCCCTCGCCGCCGAGCCGGCCAAGTTCGACCCGCCCAACGACGAGCGCGAGATCGACGACGACGACGACGCGCCGCCGCCGCCCGTGAGCGACGACGTCATGATCGACGCGTGCACGATCCCGAAGTACGCCGCGTCCGCGACGCCGGACCCCTACGCGAGCGACTTCGGGGCGGACCGCGACGTCTTCGACGACGGGTCGGCGCGAGAAACGCAGCGCCTCGCCGACGCGGACCTCCGCCGCGCCGCCGCGGGGGACCCCGCGGCCGCCGCGGACCGCGCCGCGCCGCCGCCGCGCGCGCCGGAGACGGCCGCCGTCAGCGACCGGGACCTCATCTCCGCGTGCACCCTGCCGAAGCACGCGGTCTCCTCGACGCCGGACCCCTACGCGAGCGACTTCGGCTGGAGGCCGCCCGCGGCCGCCCGCGACGACGAGGCCTCCTGGGTCTGACGCCCCCCCCCTGTCTGATGCCTGTTTCTGTACCGCGCCTGTACCAACCCCCCTCTTTGTTCTAATCGTCGCTCCGCGGCCGACGCCGTATGCGACAGTCCGAATTAACCACACGGATCTCGGCGCGCGCGGCGCCGCGGCCTCTTCAGTCAGCCGGGGTTGAGCACGGCGTCGAGCTCCTTGATCGTCGACTCGGCGATGGCCCGGAGCTCCGCCTCGTCGACCTTGGGCATGGCCGCCGTGAAGATGCCGTGGAGCCTGCGAGCGGGCCGCGGCGTCCCGGCCGAAGCTCTCGGCCGCGTCGGAGTCCGCTCCGGGCCCGTTTCGCGACGCGTCGCTTTCTCTCGACGGAGCGCGAGACGCGCGCTTCCGAACTGGTCGCACGCGCGCCCGTTCGAAGGATGGCTTCCGGCGCGGCGGATCGCTCGGCGACGGACCACGGAGCGTCCTTGGCGTTCGGGTCAAAGTCCAGGTTCTGGATCGCCGCGGGCAGGTCGTCCTCGTCGTCGACGCCGTGGAGCTCGCAGAGCTTCGCCTTCATCTTGTCGTCGATCTTCATGATGCCCTGCAGCCGCTTCATGTCGTACTTGGCCGTCATCATGTTGCGCTTCTGGCCGCCGGACATGTTTCGCCGTTGTTGCCGGCGCGGACGCGCTTTCGACGAGGTTTCCCGATGCGGCGCGACGACCCGGACGGCCTCGACGACGGGCAGCCCCACGGGCGCCGGGCAGCGCCGATACACCAGACACTCCCCTCGAGCCACGGGCGCGGCTGCAAGTTAGGACCTTGAATCGATGGGAGCTGATGCTGCTCATCGAGCTCGGCATCCCGCATCGCACCTGAACAAGCGCCAAGTGTAGTTTCCGCCGGAACACGGAGGAGCGCGTCGCAGCGTCGCGCGGTCGCGGACGCCGGCGCTCCCGTCCATAGTCGTAGTTGACGCGCGCGCCGCACCAGCCACGATGCGCGGCCGCGGCGCGCCCCGCCAGGGCGACCTCGAGGACAACATGTCCTACGACGACGACGTCTCCTTTAAGGGCAAGAGCGGCGGCGGCCGCCGGGTGCGCGCGTCCGTCGTCTACCTCGGCCTCGCCGCCGCGTCCCTCGTCTGGCTCGCGTCGACGGCGCCCCGGTCCGGCGCGCGCTACGGCGGAATCGTCGCGTCGTGCTGCGGCGGCGGCCTGCTCTTCAGCCACGCGCTCTGGCGCTGGATCTCGCGGCGGCCCGGCGGCGACGCGGCCATGCGCGCGATCTCGAACCCCATCGCCAACGGCGCCGCGGGCTTCCTGCGCGTGCAGTACCGCGCGGTCTCCAAGATGGCGGCGGTGCTCTGCGTCGCGATCGGCGCGAGCTACCAGCTCCGGCCCGACGGCGCGGGCGCGGCGGCCGAGGTGGGCCGCGGCGCCGCGGGCTTCATCACGTCGGCGTGCTTCGTCGTCGGCGCCGCGGCGTCGGCGCTGTCCGGCTACTGCGCGATGCGCGTCGCCGCGTTCTCGAACGTCCGCGTCGCGGACGCCGCGAAGCGATCCGGCGCGGACGCGTTCGTCGTCTGCTTCCGCGGCGGCGCCTTCTCGGCCGTGCTGAACTGCACGCTCTGCGTTCTTGGGGTCGCCGTGCTCTTCGCGTTGATTTGGGCGTCGGGCGTCGTCGCGGACGTCGCCGACGTGCCGCTGCTGCTCGTGGGCTACGGCTTCGGCGCGTCGTTCGTGGCGCTCTTCATGCAGTTAGGTGGCGGCATCTTCACCAAGGCCGCGGACGTCGGCGCGGATCTCGTGGGCAAGGTCGAGGCGTCGATCCCGGAGGACGACCCGCGGAACCCGGCGGTCATCGCGGACCTCGTCGGCGACATGGTCGGCGACTGCGTCGGGTCGTCCGCGGACGTCTTCGAGAGCGTCGGCGCGGAGATCATCGGCGCCATGATCCTCGGCGGGCGGCTCGCGCGGGACGCGGGCCTGGACCCGGCGCCGTTCGTCTTTTTCCCGCTCGTCGTGCACGCGTGGGATCTCGTCGCGGGCGGCGCGGGCGCGCTCGCCGTCACCGTGGACGCCGTCGTGCGCCTCCAGCGGACGGAGGGCACGGAGGCGGCGCCCATGGCCGCGCTGCAGCGGGGCTACGCCGTGACGCTGGGACTGGCCTTCGTCGGCTTCGCCGGATGCTGCCGGACGATGCTGCACGTGCCCGCGGCGCCGGCCGCGTGGCTCCACTTCCTCGGCTGCGGCGTGTGCGGCTTCGCGACGGCCTTCGTCTGCATGCGCGCGTCGCAGTACTACACGGACTACGCCTACGAGCCCGTGCGGCGCATCGCGGAGTCGGCGCTGACGGGCCACGCGACGGTCATCATCACGGGCTTGGCCGTCGGCCTCGAGTCCGTCGTCGCGCCCGCGCTGACCGTGGCCGTCGCCGTCGTGGCGTCGTACCACCTCGGCGCGACGTCGGGCCTCGCGGCGCCGCGCGCGGCGGGCCTCTTCGGGACGGCCGTCGCGACGATGGGCATGCTCGGGCCCGCGGTCTACGTGCTCTCGATGAACAACTTCGGACCCATCGCGGACAACGCGGGCGGCATCGCGGAGATGTCCCACCAGCCGAGCCACGTGCGCGACTCCACGGACGCGCTCGACGCCGCGGGCAACGTGACCAAGGCGATCACGAAGGGCTACTCCATCGGGTCCGCGGCGCTGGCGTGCTTCCTCCTCTTCGGCGCGTTTTTGGACGAGTTCTCCCAGTTCAGCGGGCTGCCCTTCGAGGTCGTGGACGTCGCGAAGCCCGAGGTGCTCATGGGCGGCCTGCTGGGCGTCATGACCGTCTTCCAGTTCGCGGGCATGGCCATCGCGGCCGTCGGCCGCACCGCGGGCGCCGTGGTGGTGGAGGTGCGGCGCCAGTTCGCGGAGCGGCCGGGCATCCTCGAGGGCACGGAGACGCCCGACTACGAGCGCACGGTCGCCATCGTCACGCGCGCGTCGCTCGACGAGATGGTCAAGCCCGGGTGCCTGTGCGTGCTCGCGCCCGTGTTGGTCGGACTCGCGGGCCGGTGCGTCGGGTCGCTGACGGGCCGGCCGCTCCTCGGCGCGGAGGTGTTGGCGGGCTACCTCGTCTTCGGCACGGTGTCGGGCATCCTCATGGCCCTCTTCCTCGACAACGTCGGCGGCGCCTGGGACAACGCGAAGAAGTACGTCGAGCTGGGGAACTACGGCGGCAAGAACTCGGACGCGCACAAGGCGTCGATCACGGGCGACACCGTCGGCGACCCGCTCAAGGACACGGCCGGGCCCTCGCTCCACGTCGTCATCAAGCTCCTCTCGACGACCATCCTCGTCCTCGGGCCCCTCTTCATCGCGGCGCCGAACTAGGGGGCTAACTCTGTGCTCTACCACGGGTGCGCGCGGCGGCCCTCGAGCTCGGACGCGTCGCCGGTCTCGCGGCTCGTGCGCCAGTAGCCGAGAATGTGCCAGAAGCACTCGTTGGGCAGCGGGCGAAGCGTGCGCAGCGATTTGGACGTCGTCGGCGAGGGCGGCGCGGCGAAGAGCCGCGCGAGGACGGGATCCGGCGGCGGCGCGGCGCGGCCGCGCGCGCAGAGCAGGCGGAGACGGACGAGCGCGATCCGCGGGGCTTTGACATACTTCTGCCATCCGCCCGCGGCTTTGATGGCCTCGAGGAAGTAATGAAGCTCCTTGGATATGAAGCCGACGTTTTGAATCACGACTCTGTCGCTTTCTACCACCGCGCGGCTGCTCAGTACGTCGTCCACATCGGCGCCGTACTTGAGGAAGACACGTAAAAGAGGGACTGCGGCTACAAGTCTAAGACTAGCTACGGCGTTCATCAGCGGCGTGACTCCCGTAACATCGCGAGCGTGGATGTCCGCGCCCGCTTCGAGTAGCACGCTCGCGACATCGGGCAGTAAGCAGGGCAAGTACAGGGGCGATCTACGTCTGTTACTTCCATCGCGAGTGTTTACATTCGCACCGTGCGCCAGCAACAATCGAATCATGCGACTGCGGACAAATCTCGTCGGAGCCCGTAAGGACATGGTAACCGCAAAATGCAAGAGATGACCATAAATGACGGCCACATCATTTGGATCGTTGTTTGCCTCTAACCAGTCGGTCAGCAGATCTTCGCGACGATCTCTTATCGCGTTGAAGGGGTCGATATTTGACATTGTTGGGAGGGCCACCGCCGCCCCTGCCGCGCGGGTCGCCACTGATCTGCCACTGGTCGCCAAAAGCTTGCGGCAGCTGCAAGACGAGGGCTTGTCCTCTCGCGACGCACCCCGCCTACGCGCCTACCTTGGGAAATCGCGGGCACTATCTCGAGCCCTCGAGGCTCGCCGCGCCGTGAATTAAGTCGCGATGCGCGTCCTCGTAGCCTCCCTCGTGCACCTGGCGATGGCCCAGGAAATCGTGGCCCCTGGATCTCTCGCGAGATCCGGCGGTAGACGGGACATGAGGGCCGGTGCCGGTGCATTTCGCACGCCGAGCGGCCCGGCCGTGGGATTTTTCGTCGACGGCTCGAGCATCGACGACCTCAACGGCGTCTACGCGCGGCTCGAGCGCGCGCCCGCTTGTCTGCGCGACGCGGACCTCGTCTACAAGAACGACGACAGCGCCTATTTCCTCGCGCGCGCGGACGCCGGCGGGGCCGCGGCGTGGGTCTTCGTGCTCGACTGCGTGGACCGCTTCGGCGACGCGTACCACGGGCATGCCCGTGCGCCGGGCGAGGGCGGCGATTTCGAGCACCTCTACCGGCCGCGGCGCGCGGACGGCCGGAGCGGCCTCGCCGCGGCCGGCGACGGCGCCGTCGCGGCCGCGGTCCGAGACGACGCCGAGCTGCCGTGGCTCGTCCGCGAGTTGCCGGGCCAGGCCTTCATGGAACAGGCCCAGGTGAAATATCGGCGATTCCGGCAGGCGGCGCGGGAGTCGAGCGCGCGTACGTTCGACGACGAGAAGTACGCCGCGGGGGCGCCGGAGCCGACGCCGGCGGACGCGGGCGACGACGAGAGCGACGGGATCCCGCCCGCCTTCGCCGCGCCGGAGCCAACGGAAGCGCCGGCGCCGGTCGACGACTCCGACGAGGAGGCCGACGAGCAGGCCTACGAGCAGGCCGACGAGCAGGCCGACGAGCAGGCCGACGACGGCTCCGACGAGCAGGCCGACGAGCAGGCCGACGACGGCTCCGACGAGGAGGCAAACGAGGAGACGTGCGCGGGCAACGCGACGGCGCTCGCGGACGAGGGGTCGCGGCTCCGGCGCGCGGGCAAAGCCGCCGACGCCGAGGCCGCGCTCCTCGCGGCGCTCGC